AAAGGTAAAAAATATATATAAATTTAATAGCAAACTCAATCCAGCAATGTTTAAAAAATTATTATAACCAAGTTGGTTTATTTATAAAATGTTAAAATTGGTTTTACATGCATTAATATAATTAACCATATTAATGCATTAATGGAAGAAATATCTATTTATCACAATATTGCATTAAAAGAATTTAGATAAAAGGCAGCACTCATTCATGATTTGTAGCAAACCAATAATAGTATGATAAATTATTTACCAGGTTATCCCTAGTCTAATAAAGGATTTCTACCAAAAGCCTTCAGTAAATACCGTTCTTAATGGTGATGTGTTAGAAGCATTCTCTTGAAAATCAAGAATGCCTCCATCACAGCTTCAGTCAACATTTCACTGGAGAATAATAGTACGATTCTTTTCTTTTTTGTTTTTAATTTTACATAGAAACCCAAGTGACTCTGCAGATAATATTTTAGAATAAAAAAGCTTAATATGTCAGGTGAACATATCAATAAATAAATAATTTTTTCACAACAGCAGTAAACAGTTTAAAACATTATTTTTAAAATGCCATTTACTGCACAACAAAAATAGAGTATTTAGGGAAGTCACTTGACAAGTCAATACCTTCATAGGGAAATTTATATGAAAGTTATTGAAGAAGACCTAAATAAATACATCATCATGTTCACTGATAGTCCAGAATGTAGATATCAAATCTCTGCACATATATCTACATATTTAATGTTATTTAATCAAATATTAAGAGTATTTGGGGAGATTGAAGTCTTGATGAGCTGATTCTCAATTTTACATAAAGAGCAAACAGTAAAGAATTACCATAAGAAAAATGAGGTGGGTGATTTAGCCTACCTTATCAAGTAGAAGTCTGTGTTTGTTAGATTAGGTAATTGATACTGTGTATATCAGATTCTGCTGGGCTATTCTGGTAACAAAAGCCCTCAAATCTGATCAATTAAAAGCACAAACTTTATTTCCCACTCATATATCTCATTATTCCGTATGTACTATCTATCCATCCCAAGTTCTCAAGAGGACACTACACATCATAGTTGCTCAGGTACCAGGCTGTTGGGTTCACCTGAATCTCACCTAGAGTCTTAAGGATGCTGTCCAAAGATGGTTCATGTAACTTCCATTAACATTTCATTGGTGTAATCAAGTCTAAGCCTGCCGTGAATGTGGCGTGGAAGCACAACCTTTCCATTAAGAGGAAGGGACAATGAGGAACAGTAATACAATGGTGCACACTATAATAAGATACTGTGTAATCGACACTATCAATGGGCAGATGAAGAGAATAGAACAGAGAGCGCATAACTAGACCCACACCAATGGAACTTGAAACACATCAAAGGTGGCATGCATATTATTGAGAAAAAGATGGAGAAGTCAATAAATGATGCTGGGACAATTTCTCCTATAATGGGAAAATATGAAATGTGGTCCCTGGCACAGATCACATTTACAAATTAATTCTAGATAGATTAAATACTCAATGTGAAAAGCAAACCTTTAAAGTTTTTCAGATATAATGTGCTAAACCTTAGCAAATAATTTTTTAAATAAGATACTAACAAATCTTAAAAATTTTTTAAAGTGACAAATTCAACTACATGAAAATTGAGAATTTGACTCTATTAAAAGGCAATGAATAGAGGGAATCAAGCAAGCCACACACTGGAAAAAGATATTTGCAAAAGTTGTTCCAAGATTAGTATCCCAAATGTATAAGGAATGTTATAGGATCACTATGATAAAAATAAATACACAAATCAGAGAATGGATACAGATAGGAACAGGCACTCCACAAACAAAGGAAAATGAATGAACCCAATCCTCTTGACCAATTCCATCAGTAATTAAGGGAATGCAAATTAAGATCACAGTGAGATGTTTAATCAATAGGTAAATATATAAAATATGACAATACTAGGTATCATGAAGGATATGAAACAAGGTAAACCTACTATGCTGTTGGGAAAAGTATACCAAACTTCATTAATTCTAAAATATCATTTATTTAAGATATCCCATGATTTTAAATACTACTCCAAAAACAACAATCGCACAACTGCCAGCACAATACTTCCATCATTGTAATGTTAGTTATATGTACTGAAAGATTTTAGACTTATGAGAGAAGGGTTTTAGCATATATCGCTCTTCTTTTGTGCTTACAAAGACTAGGAAATACAATTAAATAAACTTTTCAAAACTTTTTACAATCCCAGTCTGTTTTTTATTCACTTTTGACTCAGAGTTTCTATGACCACGTATTTCTATGGGGCAGAGACAAGCCATCTCCACTCAATCCTCTCTGAATTTTTGGTCTATAGAAACTGTGAACATAATAATATGGTTCTAGTTGCTAAGGCACTAAGTTTGGGGTGGTTTGTTTCACAACAGTAGATAATTGGAATGCCCCTCATGCACAAAGGACTGGGCATCCTCTCAAGACCTTCTTCCCCTTTGGACCCTTCTATCTCTTGGGTTACTTCAGTTTCCACACAAATGACCATTACAACCTACTAGTCTCCCAGTTCCTTGACCTTCTCACCAACAGTGATGTACTTATCTAATAAACCTCAGGTGAGCTCTTTCAGTTTACAAAAAGGCAAGGTTTCTCAAGAACTTTAATGACTACCTGTGAAGGTTTGAGATAAGTGACAAATGGAGGCCCCCTCTTACCACCCCTCCAAAGATGCCATGACTCCTCTCTGGGGTTTTCAATACACAGGACATTGAACAGAGCTGCAGGTCACAAAGTCACCATGCCAACCTTCCTGTCCATCATAACAACAGGGCATTCTGCCTCAGGGTGGGGGAAGGGCTGTGCAGGTAGTAGGGGCCCTCACTCCAGAGCCAGCCAGTTGCCTCTTCTGCCTGCAGGACAGGTACCAGGTGGAGGCTCACAGTGCCTTGGTGAAAGGGCTGAAGGGCCGAGGTCCCTGGGCACAGGCAGAGGCAGTGGAGGAGGCAACCTGAGGTGGCCTGAGGTGGCCTGGCATCCAGTGGGGCAGCAGGGGTGGCCAGGAAAATGGGAACCGGTGGCCCTGGGGTGCCAGGCCATGCACTGTTCCTCCTCCTGGTACTGCCGCCTTTTCCGATGAACAAGGGAAGCTTCCTATACAGCGTCTCAGGATCCAGAGACTTCCAACACCTGGGCCTGAGTTGGGAAAGCCTCCACAGCCACCTCAGCCTGGACCGGGGAAGCTTCCACCACCGCCGCAGCCTAGGTGCCTGGCTGCAGGAGAAACACACAAAAGACAAGAAATCCTGCCAGAGCTCATATAACCTCTACTTCATCTTGGACAAGTGAGTGACCCCCTGACTTAGCCCTGCATGTCCCTCAGGGAGTTGTTGTCCCTAGGGACAATATGGGCAGAACATGGCCAAAGGGGGCCCCAGCATTTGAGAGAGGAGAAGGAAGGCCAGTCTTGGTCTGATCCAAGGAACAGACCTCAGTGGCTTCCTTGTTCTTGATGCAAAAGGAATACCGTAGGCATTTTTCCCTGTAGATTTTTCATTTGGAAAGGAATAAAGGACACCTTGGAGTTTCTGGAAAACTCTCAGTCCTCCATCAACTTGGCAAGGATCTGTGACCTGATGCCCCTTAAACAGCTAGAGGGACGGGCGATTACTAAGTGCTTCTTCTCAGCAGTTAGAAGAAGCTCAGGGTGGATTTGGGGTTTTGTTTGTTGTTTTTTTGTTGTTGTTGTTTGGTCTTGTTTTTCATCCAAATGAATTCTGTTTTTACTGGGCCCCAGAGAGATTGCTATGTGCTTCTGTTGGGCATTTGCACAGTCATTGCTTAGAAAATCTTTTGCATTGCTACTGCTGAGGATTTTAGCTTCTTTCTCCAACACCCTGGAGACTGATGTCACTGTTTGTGTGCACCTTCAGAGCAGTGTGTTCTGACTGGGTGTGTCCCTAGGAAACTGGGCTGTGCATTGGACATCTTCTGGTCCTCGAAGAAGTGGGAGGGATGGGGCTCCAGGCTTGAAGAGACTGCTTTGGTTCCATTTTCAGCTCCTCTGTTGGGCTGAGACTACACCTTATTTATCAATGGTAACAGTGGTGTAATGATCAATAGTCTCCTTGAAGCACTTTACACTTCCCAAAGCCCTTTCACTGAACTTCTGTCATCCTCAGAACAACCCTGGGATGTAGAGTAGGGAAGGTGTTTGCATATACAATCTCCTGGAAAGGGGGCAGATCCTAGAGGTTGAATGAAGTAGTCCAGAAGCTAATGGTAGTCACAGAACTCGAACTTCTGGTACTGCCCTCATTCCGGCATCCCAGGTTGTACTGCCCCTGATTCCTCTGATTCTCCTTAGAGGCTGATGAATGGGGGGATACATTCCAGCCCACTAGCTGCTGAGCAAATTTTGCAGAGCTGGAAGCCACCCTGTCCACCAGAAGAGAGGTCTCCCTTCACAGTCCATGGAGAGACTTCTGAGATGCCCGGGGCAGATCTTGAAGGTTGATCCTTACCAAAGCCCAGGGGGTAGTGGTTCCCTTCTTGAGAATTAGGATTGGTGATGGATGAGCATAGTAGGGGGCTGACAGCATCTTTAAGTCAGTCTTTCCAGATAGTAATAGTGACTCCAAAGGATCTTCTCAACTGTCGTTCTCTTACAGTGCCCCTGAACGCACCCCTGGCCTCTACTGTTAGGTCCAGTGTGGGCACAGCTTAGCCCTGGGATGGATAGGGAAGGGTTCTGGGCACAGGTGGGCATGAAAATAACATTAATTGAACACTTTCTATGGGCCAGACAATATGCTGAGCACTGGTCCCTCCCGAGAGCTTAAGGGAGTAAGTTCTATTTTCCTATTTTAGGGTGATAAAACTGAGAGTGAGAGGGGCTAGTAATTAGCTCAATATTTATCAAAGATAGTTTGCCACACATTAGATAGTGGAGAATGCTCTCTTATTTACTCTCCCAAAGAGGATTTGAGGTAAGGGGACTAGAAGGCACCACAGAAATGGCTTCCTGAGCCAGGGTGTCCACACTTCTCACCAATCTCATCCCCTCACACACTTCTTAATCCTTCGACTTCTTAAATGCTGGAAGGCAGAACTGGTCCCTCTGACCACAGCTGGATGCAGCTGTAGCTCCATGTGGAGGGCCCAGAAGACTGGGAAGACAGGAGAAGAAAGGGAGCAACTCAAGTCTCTTGTACACCTGTCGGGCTCCAGGACCAAGGATATTCCATGCTGTCTGACACTGCAGCAAACACCTCAGTCCCAGGGAGCTAGCACCATTTCCCTGGAGCTGTGCTCATGCATGTGGCTGAAGAAGTCTTTGCTGCTCTGGGGTGCCAGCTTGATGAGGACTTCTAAAAGAGTGAGACTCATTCCCTCATGTGGCTGCTCTTGCTAGTCTGAGGAAAGGGGAGTAACAATCACTGAGGAGGCAGCCCCAGCCTTGCACCAAGCAGACTCCACTCATCAGTCACATGGCCTTGAGCAAGTCACCTCACTTCCACTGCCTCAGTGTCTCATCTCCACAGGGGGACCTTCACACCTACCTCACTAGATTGTAATGGGGAGTTTGTAGATAGTTTGCCCAGCACAGCATCAGATGCAATCATGGAGGATTGAGTATGAAGTGAACTGCCAAGAAGACAGAATCACACACTCTGGGAACTCTACACTGCAGGGGCCACTGATCCACCCCTGATTCCATGGCTCAGCTCTCTTCTCATAAGCCCTTTCGGGGTGTGGCAGAGTGCTGGCCAGACACCTCTACTGGTAGCACTCCATGGTTCTCTGGGACCTTCCACCCAGAAGTCCTGATCATTCCTGTTTTCTTATTAATTCATCCACCCTCAAATGATTACTGAGCAACTGCTATATGTCAGCCACTATTTGGGTCAGTGAGATAAGGCAGCAAACATAACTGAGCAGTCTTTGCCCTCCTGGAGCTTCCATATTAGTGGAGAGACAAGAAATAGATAAAATGGGAGAGGAAGTAGTATTGGATGGGGATAAGCACCAGGAGAAAAATCGGGGCAGGAGGATGGGAAATACTAATGGAGGGACCATTCTAGAGGTGGTCAGGGAAGGCTCCCTGACTAGACTAGAAGGTAAGGAGGCAAAGGAGTGGGTGTTTTTTGAGCAGAGGAGGCGTGTGATTAGATCTTTTTTTTTAAAAGGACCACAGTTGAAAGACGCAGGGCAGAGCCTCTGGGGAGACCAGTGAAAGGGGCTGGCACAGGGATTCAGGGAGAAGATGGTGATGTGGACCTGTAGGGTAGGGTGGAGATGATAAGTGGCCAGATTCTGGATCTGGTTTGAAGGTCCAGACCATAGAATTCCAGATAGACTCAATAGAGGAAGACTAAAGATGGCCCTAGCCAGAGTAAAGTGAGGGGAGGAAGCAGCTTCATCACTACATGTTCCTTACAACTGTGAGTAAATGTTATCACCCCTATTTTATGAATGAAGGAAGGAGGCTACTCAGGGCCAGGGTTGACCCACCAAAATTCTCGATAGGAAAATTGATTCAGAATTCAGACTCTGTAATGTCTGATATGAAAACAAATTCCAAAAACTCTGAGGCTGGCTGGGTCCCTAAGAATCCTTGCTTGTTGGGGGCAAAACCAATCTGTAACCTGCAGGAAGGTCTTGAGTGGTTTGCTCCCAGGTCATTCATTAGATTACTTATTCATTTTTTCATTTATTGGACTGAAGTGGGTAAAAATTAATGTGCCCTCCCAAACGCCCCCAATATTGGCCAGTGGTCTTCAAAGGCAGGGAGCCCCAGGCTAAGGGAGTGGTCTGTATAATGGCCTGAGCAATGATGTTCTCAGACGAATCCAGAAGATCTGAGTGTGAGGAGGGAGGGGGAGAGAAGAGGAGGAAGAAGAAGGGGGACAGGCCAATGTTGGGGCCCTGGGCCCGTGTAGGTGTGTTCTCTACTTCTAGGGCATTTGGAGCGGGGGGGTCACTGAAAGAAAGGCCTTTATCAATAGAGAGATGGATTCGATCTGTGTTTTGGAAAGATCTTCTTTGCTGACTTGAGGTTGATAATACAGAAAGAGGAAATGATGGAAGTGAAGTTGGAGTAAAATGAGGAAAAGTCCATAGGTCATAGGAGGCCTGAAAGGCTCAAGAAATGCAGATAGGAGTCCAGGTATGTTTGTCCAATGAGAGAAGAGGGAGACTAAACCCAGGAGAGAACCTACATGAGCTTCATAGTTAGGAACTGGCATATAGGAGAGAAGCAGAGCTTTCGTGATCCATCCCGGCCAGTGACAGAACCTATGCAGGATGCTCATTAGAAAGTGTCTTGTCATTAACACCTGTACAACCAAATGGTCAGAAACGGAATTAAGAGGTGCTTTGATAAAGGCCTGACAGCCTCAGCTGACAAATGTGGAGATTTGGAGCTTAAAGTTGCTCTCAGGGTTTTCCATATTTGGGCTAGATGATTAGGCCATCCAGTCACTGAAGGTGGCTGCCCTTGGAAAGGTGTGCTCTTGGGCAAGGCAACTCTGCAAGTAAGGAGGTCTCAAAGGGGATGACAGCTGAAGGAGCATCTTCAAAGGAGCATCTGGACTCAGCATGTTTGTGTCCTCAGAAGCTCCTCCAGCCTGGATAAAAAGAATATAGCTGTGCAGGGCAGGCTATTGATCTGTGGTCCCCTTTTGAGGGGAAATCCCATGTCTCTTATTTTCTTCTTCTCAGGGCCCATCACAAACTCTCACAAAGGTATCCATGGCTTATGTGCTTTGGCAGGTGCAGAGGACATTGAAACCTGTACATGGTAAACAATAACTCCCCATTCATTCTTTCTGCCCAGACCCTAGTAATCTCTATCTTCTGTAACTGTGAATTTGCCTATGCTAGGTACTTCATATAAGTGGAATTATAAAATAGTTGGCCATTAGTGTCTGGTTCTTTCACTTAGCAAAATGTTTTTGAGGTCCATCATGTTGCAGCATTTCTCAGAATACTTCCTTTTCTATATCCGTTCATCTGTGGTTGAGAGCTTGGATTGTTTCCACTTTGGGACTACTGTGAATAGCACTGCTGTGAACAATGGTGTACTTTTATCTGAGTCCCTATTTTCATGTCTTTTGGGCATATGCCTAAGAGTAGAAATTGCTGGCTCATATGATAATTCTGTGTTTAACTACTTTAACTGTGCCATGCTGTTTCCACAGTGGCTGCACCATTTTACATTCCCAAGAGCAATGCACAAGGGTTCCAATTTCACTATATTCTCTCCAACACTTGTTATTTGCCAAGTTCAGTTTATTTTATTTTGTTTTGTTTTAGGTGATAGCCATCCATTGGTATCTCATTA